ATTTAAGTAATCCTACCTTTGCTCAAACAAATTCCTTAGTATCTACCGTGATGTCTGCAAGCACAACTACCCTTCGGTATCCAGGATACATGAATAATGACTTGGTTGGTCTTCTGGCCTCTTTAATTCCAACACCAAGATGCCATTTTCTAATGACAGGATATACTCCTTTGACAGTGGAACGTCAGGTGAGATCCAAGTTTTATGTTTATGGTTCATATAATCTTTTATATAAAATAATCTGTGGAGCATTCAAATTTGGACAAAGTTGTAGCTTTTGGAGTTTTTTGTTGCATTATATCTCTTTCCGCCGCCTCCTTTCATAAATTCTGTAATTTTCAAGGGAAATACGTTTGTTGGTGCTTGCTACATGATAGTTATTTTTCATGTTACAAACGTAGCGGAACGAATTAAAAGTCCAGTGCCATCTTCTGGCAGGCTAATGTAATTTGAAAAACCACAGTACTTGATGTTATGAGAAGACTTCTTCAGGTATGAAGACTTTAAACAGCTAGATTTCATACCTAATGGCGTTTGCTCTGCTGACATAAATAGTATTGGCAGGCAAAGAACATTATGGTCTCTTTATATGCTCGAACAAAAGATGCTAGCCAAGCAAAATATATATCAATTTTGAATATCATTCAAGGAGAAGTTGATCCAACACGGTATTATATATGGCATTTCATTTTTTTTTCCCTCCTGATTGTTTGGAACATCTGTTCTCAGAGCTGCAATATACCAGTTCACCCCATGCCACCTGCTTAGGTCAAAATGTCAAAATTATAACAAGGTTGAAACTTAGGAATTGCTCTAGTTCACCCCATGCCACCTCCTGATTGTTTAATTCTGGTTTCTTTGATAAGACCAGACCTTCATGCATTTTTCAGTTAGCATGTAAAAATTGAATGATGATTCTTCCTCTTATGTTAGAAGAGCATTCCTAGTTTTGCTGATTCCCCCCATTATGCTTTCTTGTGTTGCAGCTTTCCATGAAATGTCTTTTTTTTTTTTTTTGGTGATTGTTCAGTACCATTTTTATAATAAGTAATTTATCGTGGTGCTTTTTTCTCCCTTTATGTTCAGGTTCATGAAAGTTTGCAAAGGATACGTGAAAGAAAGCTAGTTAACTTCATTGAGTGGGGTCCTGCAAGCATTCAGGTATTGCTTCTATGACAGAACAACTGAGTGTTGTTGGCTTGTTGTGTCTACTTTATTTGGGATAATATGGCATAATCAGATATTCTTTTGTTTCTCGTGTGTATATGGTAGGTTGCCCTGTCTAGAAAGTCCCCATATGTTCAAACTGCACACAAGGTAGGACTCTCATCCTTGTCTTAGTTTTTCTTTTTATCTATGAATTTCAACCTTGAGCTTATCCTGAACTACATGTAGAATCTTAATATTAGCTATCCTGTTAGGATTATTGAAGAAATGCGAGGGGCCAAAAAAAAAAAAGATAACCTTTAAGTGTTATGTATGATAGGTCAGCGGACTTATGCTAGCAAGTCACACTAGCATTCGGCACCTTTTCAGTAAGTGTTTAAGTCAGTATGAGAAGCTGAGAAAGAAACAAGCCTTTCTGGACAACTACCGAAAGTTCCCAATGTTTGCTGTGAGTAAGCCATTTTTTACCGCAATCCGACATCACATGATGAGCATTTGTTAATTACTTTTTTGGTCTATGCTCAGATGGTACTTGAGTAGTTGGCATATAGCTGACAATAAAAGATTGGCAGGATAATGATCTCTCAGAATTTGATGAATCAAGGGACATAATTGAGAGTTTGGTTGATGAATATAAGGCCTGTGAGTCCCCTGATTATATCAAGTGGGGAATGGAGGTAGAGTCTATATTTACGTCACTTTAAGTTAATCTTTTCATTTTAAGTTAATCTTGCATGTTGCTCTTTTTTCCCCTATAGGATCCAAACAATACGCTAATGGGAGAAGGCAATGCTACGGGAACTGTGAACCCAAATTCCGTAGCGTGAAGAAGCCTAGCAAGCTTTGATAAAGCTGTTCTTCAGATTTTCTTGAACTTTCTGGCTTTCTCTTACCTTCGTTAATGTGGAAGATTGAGTAACTTACATGGCACTTCTTTTGCTCCAACCACTTGCTGACTTCTAGTTGGCTTCCTTCCAAGGAAGTAGCTTCCAGAAGGGAGAATGAGTTAAGTTATGATTTTTATTAGAAACTAGATGCTCCACTGTTTTGAGTAAATAGCAAGCTTAAGTAAATATTATCCAAGCCAGTTTTTTAGTTTTCTTATATCCACCTTGTTCCTGATCAAAATAAAGCTTCAGTCTCTAAGCTCCTTCTTGATTACTTGTTAGTGAGATGACGGGTTGGAATCGATCATTGCTCCACCGTCTTGGCTTAATGGGATGGGGGATGATGAGAGGTCCAGGTGATTTTTTGTAATCTGTGTAAATATTAATCATTGCAGGTACAGGGAGACAGGAAAAGGGTTTTATGTAAAATAAATTTAGAGGGTTTGAATTTGAATGAGCTTTTTCAACGTTGAGGTGTCAGATGGTTTGTATCGCTTAACCATTTGGACATCCACGCGTGCATGACTTGGTGGTACAGAATCTCACTGTATTCTTTTTCTAGGGAATGTAAATGGTTGATTTGTCACTGTGTCCTTTTGCTATCTGGATCTTGGATGTTTAATAGGGGATCCTGCTGATGCTCTTTGATGAATCTTACAGTATTTAAATTTTGAAAGGAATTCGATTTTGTTATCATGTGGCAAGCATGTGTTAGCACAGTTCTCTTTGTTATATTGTCCCCTTAGAATTAGCATTTTGGGTCCACTGTGATTGGTGCTGCAAATTCTGAATATATTAGACAGCCAAATTCTAAATACGAAAATGTACTCACTCTGCGTTAATTAACGCCATTAGTTCTACAGAATAATGGCCCAATATGGATATGATAAAATTTGCCTCATCTTTATATACTGGAATTCTTAAATTCCTGCAGGTTTCAAACGTAGTCTTCTGAAGTTTAAACTTGTCATGTGAATATACAGGTAATAAATAGGGGCTTGCTTGTTGCCTGTTGTCAATGTCCCAAGATGTGTTGGTAGGAACGGTCCACGTCCACGTCGCTTGTTAATTGCTGTAATTCTCCTCGATCCACATTGGGAAGAGTCTCAAATTTGTTGGGTATTTTAAGATAAATGGAGATAATATAATAATTTGAATAGCCTTTTAGTCTTCTTTTTTTTAATAGCTTCAGTATGTTCACTTTCAATGCTGATTTGTAATCCAGTCAGCTATATGATTTGCATATCATGGTGATTTTGATTGATGATTCCTATAAGATCAAATGGCACATAGGCTGTCCTTTCAATTCTTGTATGGACAAGTTGGATATCGTGTAGTGGTTTAGGGAGGCAATAGGAGAGTCACGAGAGCGAGCCTGTATGGGCTTTATTCTCTTGTCTGCTTTTTATCTGCTGCTCTCCTCCTGTAACCCTAGGAACCACTGTTTATGCTTCATTCATATTGTCTGATTTTGAACTATACCAATGTATGATTTGTTTTGTATCTAACTAGGATTTACTTGTATATTAAACGTTGATGAAGACAAATTACATGTAGCCCAAGATTTATTGAGCTGACACTGTAAGTAGCGATGGCTCCCATCAAATTTTGTAGATATATAATGCTTCTTGTTAGCATTTATCACAACTATGTGGCTCTTATTTATTATGCATTGTATAGAGCCTAAAGAATGAATTCTATAAATTGATGTTCCTTTAAAAGTGATCGAATTATTGAAGTTCGCTCTCTCTCCCCGCATTAAACATAGAAGAAAAAATTACGTGCAACCCAAAATCTAGGGAGCTGGCATTGTAAACTTGTAACTACAAGCCATGGTTCCCACCAGCTTTTATAGATATATAATAGAAGACGATCCTTCAGCTACATTATTCACGTTATTTCATTGTTAAGAATTATTTATTTCTTATATTTTATTTGAAGAATTTAGTGCGCATTTGATTTGTTAATCCATGCATTACATGAGATATGTTAATTTTTACGAAAATATCATTCAATATCAGAGATATAAAATTAGTTGCCAAAAAAGATTGACTATATTAAAAATAAATTAAATATTTAAGATTTTTTAAAAAAAATCAATTTAAAAACAATATTCTAATAAAAACTTGAATAATAAAGGTAAAAGAAGATTCAAAGAATAAAAAAAGAAAATAAAACAATGAAGCAAGTAAAAAAAGGTTGAGACACAGGTCGGCTTGACCGAAATGGGCTTAGGTATTAGAAATTCTATGACCTCAAATTTGACCAGTTCCCTAAATCTAGCTCTTATTGATTGAGACTAATCCAAAAATCCTTTTTATAAAAAAATTAAGTTTCACGTTATTACATTACATATCCAAGCTCTAAAAGATAAATTAAAATGTTCTAAAGTTTAAGACAAATAATATAAATCCAAGCTTAAACGATTTCAAACTCGTCATCCTATCTTTCTTCTTCTCTACCATGCTTTCCAATATTTTTCATTCTAACCAAGCAAGCCAATAGATATAGCATTTGCTCAATCATGTTATCACCCAAACTGGACCATATAAATTAAAAAATTAAAGTTGTACCGGGAAGGTAAAAATTCTAAAAAGTCCTATGATAGCTATATAATCATAGAAAAACCCTTATTTTACATTTGATTTTAAAAATAAATACGAGCTTTAAACAAGTAACTCAACCCCGAGCCAAATAAAAAGAGCTTGAAAACACCAGTTTGAAACGGCCACAATCCCACATGGGCAGGCATGTTAAGTTGCAACTTGCGGTGCAATTCACTAAAAGACGTGCAAAAGTGGTCCCATTGCAACCAAAGATAAAACCATAGACGCAGCCCACACCTTGATATTTACCTAACAGCTCCCCGCAACTTTCCACTTTCATTCTATTTATATGCACATTAAGAGGCTTCTTCTTCTTCATCATTCCTCTTCTTATAGACTGCTTTCAGCCTTCTCTTCTGCAAATTCCCAATGGCATTACTGCTGAGAGCACCGGTAGCTTTAGCTCTTTCGTTTGCCATTTTGTGTGCTTCTGTTGGTGGTGGTGTGTCTCAATCCTCTCTCCCGCTCCTTCCAGTGATGGTATCCCTCTTCTCTGTTCTTCATTTCTTCTATGCTTTTCAACAGTTTGATCCGTCAATCTGATACTTCATTTCTCATTCTGCTGTTCTTCAATGTGTATTGTCATCTAAGATAATCAAACAAATGTGTTTTGTATGGTTTTAAGATGAACTTTTTTTGTCTTTTCTTTTTAAGTTCTGGTTCAAATGCTACAGGTATGAAAAAAATGATAGCAAGGAAGTAAACTATTTTGAGATGAATTTAGATTAACAAAACATACGTGTATGGCATAATTTATTTATTTATTGAAAATCGAATCTATAAATTGAAATTGATTTAATTTACTTATATTTTTGTGAATTCAGGAACGACCATAGACCAAGGGATTGCATACTTCTTGATGCTTGTGGCTCTGATCCTCACATACCTCATCCACCCACTTGATGCCTCTTCCTTCCTCCCTTAATTTCTTCTTTGTATCTCTCACTTTCTTCATTAATTTTAACATTTTTATATGATTTGCTTCATGGGCTACGAGATCTTTTTTTTTTTGTGGTTTTAATGTTTGTATTTTTTTTATTGTTATTTATATGATAATTAACTAAACTTCTATATGTCGTAGTAGACTTTTTTCATGAGGAATTGAGCCTTTAATTATTACTCGTACTTCTCTCCATTTAGTCATCCGAGCTAGCCCAAATGATTGTCCTCTTCAAATTGTATTTATCCTAATTAATGGTGGTGAACTAGTAATGTATTGTTCATTGTCAATTTATTTTTAAAAAATTGCTGCTTTTATTTTAATTTTTTTTTCAATCTGCTGCTTTTATTCTAATTGTCATCATTAACAATTGAAAAATAAACTATAATGTAAATTATAAACTATAATGTAAATTACTTTATAGATTGATCTTTCTTTCTTTTTTTTTCTTTAATTTCATCAAGTATCCTGGTATTATCACTTTTTATTCAAACTAATCTAAAGCCTCACTTATATGGGACCATTATTATTACTTCAAGGATAACATTTGGCATGTTTATTTAAAGCAAATATAAATTTCAAGACTTGAGATCTCAAAATAAGTTGATTTAACTCCCCCAACTAATTATACCCAATATAATTCAATTTGATTTTTCTTTTCCTTTTGAATGCAAACAAGAATTTCATTCTTGGCCAAAAACAAACAGGAATTTTATTCATAAATTGACAAGGCGAAACAACAAAGTACATAAAAAAATATTAGGTTATCAATTTTTCATCATTCAGCACCTCTGTACTAAGAGATGGTTGATGATTAACGAAATTAAAAATCAATATCTAAATCATGACCCATGACTCGTGACTCTTCCTAGTTAAAATATTTGCAATTCCCTATGTACAAATTAAGTTAATTTTAACATTCCAACTTCTATTAGCATGACTGAAAGCTTCCCCATTCACATTTTGGAAAGGAAGATCAAGTATACTTGGTCCCTTAGTAGAATATTTATAGCTTCCACACCATTACTTTAGAGATTGATGTTTCAAAAATGTACCTTTCACAATTTAAATTAATAAAAAGACTTGCTTAGAAATGTGATGATGTTAAGTATTTGTGATATTTTTATTTCAAGCGAAATTGTGTTTCCTGAAGGATAAAATTGATTTCTGTCTTAAGAATAATCTTTAATTGCTTTCTTTCTATGGTAAGAAAATCAAGTTTATTATTATATTTTTTGTGCAATTATCTAATACCCGTTGTTGTTGTTGAGAAATAAAAACTTTACCACCAATGTTGATTTTATTATCAATAAATAAATACTTATTTTAAGGGAAAAAAGACATAGCTTGTTAAAAAAACATTTTTCATGATGCAGTAAAATCAATCGAACAAATATGTTTAATAATAATCAGCTGGCATTAGCTCTAGTGGAAAGAATTATGGTCACTTAAGCATGAACACTTGAATTTGAGTTTATGTTATGGCAAAAAATATTTTTGAAATAATTATTTTTAATTGACTTAACAATATTCAAATTTGATCCAATCAAATAGCTATATCAAAAAAAAAATGTTCAATAATAATTCATTTTCCTGTACAATTTATTTATTATGTAAATGCTATGAAAGTTACATTTGATTCAAAGAAAAATCAAATCAAATCAATCATAAATAATTTTGAAGATGAAAATTAAAAGTTTTTATAAGAATAATAAATATTATGAAAAGAATATGGTTCAAACCTCATGCCAATAAACATATCATTTCCCTAAAAAAGAACTTAAAATGATTACAATACATTATATGAAATCTCTTTAAAGCAAAACAATCAAATAACCATGTTGGGAAATTACACACATCTAGGAATGATGTAACGAAACTTGAAACTAAACGAGTCGCTCGTCTCAAATATTACACGGTTCTCCAAAACAAACAAACAAACAAATAAAATGAATCTTATATGAATATTGGAATTCAGCCTCTTCCCTTGTAAACATCAAAGTGGCTATTTATTTCAATTGATCTGCAACATTGAGATTGATGCCTTCTTCTGCAGAAATACACAGTGGAGGAAACAGTAATCGAAGCTGCTATGAGTTTAGCAGCTCCTCCAACCACTCTCTGCCACGTTTCTGGATTGCACAGAAATTTCATGCAACAGAGAAGGAAACAGTTGGTTCTCTTCTTGTTGAAGCTCCAATTACCAAAGCTTGAATCCAATTCATCGATCACACTATATGGCTTGCCTTCATAATCTGACACTTTCTGCATCAGAATTGCTCTGCTTTCTTCTACCTGGTTCACTGCAACCTGCTTGTTTATGAAATGCCATGCTCTCATTCTCTGTGATAATTCACAGATATGATATTGGTGGAGTGAACAATGAAAGAGAATATAATGGATTTATTATAAAGGAAGAAGAAGATGAAATTGTAAACCTGGATGTGAATGAGCATGTCTTCGACTTGCTTCAAAGAATCCCTCGAGCCGATCAATCTCTGCGTCTCATCATGCAATATTAATGGTGTCTCTGAAAATTTGCAGAACCATTGATTTTCATGATCTTGTGAACTGTGATACTTGTTTTCTTCCTTGTTCTTTTTGATTTCTTGGTTCAGTTTGTCTTGCAAATCGCGTGCCCTCTCTATCAGACTCTGCAAATCCGTGTTCGTCGTCTCCATCTAAGTTCTAACTCATTAGCGAACCAACAAAGTAACTCCACCATTCAAAATCAAATGAAACCATTTCATTTCTTTCTTTTCAAGTTTGGGATAAATATTGTTGCCAGCTTTCACTTTTCTTGGCTGTCCCCTGCGTGGATCTTGCTTTTCTGTACTTTATTATTTAGGACCCGACAATACTCACCCTTTTTTTTTTTAATTAGTTTGCTTAGGTCTATTTCTCTCAATTTACAAAAAAACAGTCAATTTAGTCCTAAAACAAGATAAGTAAACATATAATTCAATATAAAAACAGTCTACAAGTAATTTTATACATTAAATATACAATAATCAGCTTTTTTTTTGTTATGAACAGTTGTTTCTTGTAATTATTTAGCATCACTTGATTGGTATGGTTGTAGAGGGGATAAAAAATCATTTGCATCTCACGTATATAGCCTTTATATTTGAAAACATTGATAAATCAAACTGTGACTAATACAACTTCTTCTTTAAAGTTTGTGTAACTATACTAAGCACCCACCTAATTTATTTATTTAAAAAAGGGTTAATGACATCCATAAAGTTGTGCAACAAATACAGCGTTTAAAAATGTTTCATTTTTATGAAGTCAGGTTTAATGGGAAGATGAAGAAGTTGAATGTTGCTTAGCTGTTGTGAACCCCACAAATTGGAGCCGACATTCCCTAATGATGCTTCTTCATATGAGTCTTCCATGTTTATGAGGTGCACTCATTAGTGGATGCATGTGTTGGGTTTCACAAGCATATAATATTGGACGCAATTGTTTATTGTTTCTTTGTTAAATTCAAACGAAATTCTATAAATGAGTTTTACATATAATTAATTCATAACAGCCAAAAAAGAAATCTCCACTCTTACATGATAACCGTGATGAAAACAAATATAATCCATAGTTAATTAATTGCCTGCTTATTTTAATTTAAAATATCTAAAAATATACTTCATCTATTAAAAAATATAAGACATTTTTAGTCTTTCGAGATATAATCATTGCATTATTTTTAAAAATGCCCTTATTAATAATGACTTTATATTTATTATAGGATGTTTAATAAGATAAATATGAAAAGGTAGAGTTACTTTGAAAGTAGATAACTACTTTATTAAAAGTGAGATTAAGTTAAAAATATCTTACATTTTTTAACGGAGGGAGTAAAAATGATTACACTTTGAAAGACTAAAAATGTCGTATATTTTTAAACATCCAACTCACCAAAATATGTTTTATATTTTTAAACGAAGGGAGTATAAATTATAAATGTTTTTAAACATACAGCTCCTCATGCTTATAATTGTTTTTCACTTATGCGTATATATGTGTATATTCTAACTTCTAGGATGCATGTGTTATGGTATGGGGTCACTTTATCGTGGATAAACGAATGGTTCAAATATCATAAATCTGAAAAATATTTCTGTTGTATCTTTTTTGACCATGTCCTTTAATTTAGCAATGTCGCTTACGATATCCTCTTTGTTATCCTTCTTTTCCCTTCTCTTCTATTTCCATTGTCTCTGGAGGGTCCATTATAAAGAGATACACATGACTCACATTATTCTTTTTTTAAAAAAAAATTATATGCTTCCCAAGTTATGGTAAGTTAAAGTGGATTCTATATATTTACATGAAACTCAAAGTGAACTTTATACTATTCAAGGTATGACTTGCCTTGATGCGAAAAAGTTGTCATGATAATAAATAAACAACAAAATTGGAACATTTGTGGAGAATTTTTTTTTTTTTTTTTTTTGGCCAACCATTTGTCTGTGTCTGATTAAGCATTGTCAGGCTCAATTTAAAATATTTTTCATATCAAACTCAAAACCTTATATTTTAACCGTCATGGCACAATCCACTAAAATTATGGTCCAAACTCCAAACATTGTGTATCTATCTCACTCCTTCCTGCTGGGACAGATCCACCAAAAGAAAACGAGTGCTCTCAAGAAAGACAAGTCAGGACACTTAACGAGACAATGATGGAAGCCCAGACTTTAGAAAAGGACTTCTTGATAAGAACCTTGGGTTAATATATGGGCCCTACTGGTATGGCCCAAAAGCTCACCATCAAGTGTTTATGTTAATGGGCTGATGACACTTTTTTTTAAAACTGATTGATCAATAACACTTTTAAAGGCTTTTACCAAAAAAAAAATTACACTTTTAAAGACAACGAAATAATTACGAATTTTTATTTTAAAAAAAATAAATAATTGCGAATTCAACGTGATACAAATATACAATGTTCCGGAAAAAACGTAAACCTTCTCTTTTATTTTTTTTTCTGTAGCTACTTGCCTACGTGCTCACTCCTGAAAATGACGTGGGTGTTACTTTATAAAAGTTAACAAAGTAAAGAAAATGTGATTTGAAATTCTAACCCTCTTTAGATAACATAAAACAAATATATAGAGTTACATATCTTGAAAATTAGCCGCAAACCTTATTGTTTGTAAATTATAAATGACACAACTTACTTCTCAGGCTTTATATAATATTAAGAACCAATTACAACTTCAATGTATTAAGTTTAAATTTGGTTTGAAGGCGATAAAATGAATGAAACAGACATAAAATAAAAATTTGTAATCAAGTAATGGCTTTAAAAAAATAAAAATAACATCAGCACATTAAATAATGATGATGAGAATACATTAGGTGTCGTATAAATTTGCTCTCTTCCCATCCCTGCAATAAATTAAAACGACGGGGATCTCCAGCACCTTATATTGGATTTAAGAAACTAAAAATTTAAATACTGGTCTAAGGCATGAGACATCCCTTGATAGCTTGAACGGCCAAGGCATTTGACCTCCCATGGTCGGCGAACTGGGGCCGGCACGACTCCGGAAAAGACCATTGTGTGTGAAAATGATGGTATTTCTTCTGGGGTCGATACACAAAGATTTCATTGGCCCACTACGGTCCATTAGAATGTTAGATGGATCGAGCCATCTGGCTTTCACATGATCCCTCAACTGTGGTCAAATTAATTACCACCTAGCACCTATATTTGATTTACTTTGAAAAAATTAGTATTTAGGACCAGGAATATGCAAACTGATACGTTTATTTTTTTTTTTTTTAATTTGAAGTCTAGTTTTGCTTGATATCAGAGGATAATAAATGGGACGTGGCAGGGGTCTGACGTAAAAAGAGTTCCGTGGGAGAGATGCCAAGCCTGGGCTCACACTGTCACACCACCATCACCTTGCTTCGTCTGGTGCTACTGTACTGTGATTGTGTGCTCGTTTTCAACGTTGCTGGATCGTCTCCTTAAAATATTATTATCGCCAGCGATTGTGTATGGTGTGGCACATAAAAGGTGATCAGACATCAGAGTGTCAGGCCAAGTTGGATCCCTTCTCTGCACTTGCGCCCCGACAACACTCTTCCACCCCTCCCAGCCTCCCTCTCTAGTCCCTCTACTCTTAACACGCCCCCAAACTTGCCTTCCCTTCCCAACTACTACCCTTGAAATTTTAAAAACTCAAAGCATTCATGAGTTTTATATTGTATATTTCCAAAGTCAGGTTGACGTGCAATTTTATTTTTTATAGTAGCAGATCTCTTCGTCAAGTTTCTACAGCCCTGGATCCCTCCCCAAACCTGTTCTGAATCTTTTGACAAAATATGAATTCAGCCGGTGAGAACTTGCAGCTGTTGCATTGTTTTATGGGAGAATTGCATTCATTTCTATCCTAAAAAAAATTAATTTTACAAATAAGGATTAATAACATGTCTTATTCAAAAAAAAAAGTCATATTCCTATTTTATCAACAATCTATTATTTATTGATCTTTATTTATAATTAATTTTTTAGAAGGAGGTTGGATGTAATTTTCTTTTGTTTTATTATGTTAGAAGAATTGCATTTAGCCCCCTCTCAAGAAGATTAATCATAGATAAAGACTAACAACAAGTTATATTGATTAAAAAAATAAGTCATGTTCACATTTTAACATCTCGTTTTGCATTTATCTTTATCTGTAATTTTTTTTTTTTTTTTGGAATGGGCTAGATGCGATTTTCCTTGTTATATTTGCCAATACTAACAAAAGCGCACCTTGATGGGGTTGGAGGGAAGCCTCCTCTGCCTCTCCACTAAGGTAGAGGCTTAATTTAGACCATTTAAATTTAATCTGGATGGTCCATATTTTAATATTTTTATTTTTTATTTATATTTTTAAAATAAAAAATACGCAAAATTGTAAAAAAATTAAGAAACAAGCTTATTAGTTTAATAGTCCATATTTAATATGAATGATTTAAATTTAATATTAAAATTTTTTAATAAGTTTACTTTTCCATTCAGAATATATTTGTATTGTTCAAAATATACCTATAAAGTCAATTTAAATTTTTAATATTAAATTCAGATCATTTATATTAAATTTAGATTGTTAAATTAATACGTATATATTAGATTCATTTTTGAAACTATACGCGCAATATGAACATATTTTTTCGGGTCTTAACTGTCACCATTCATTGTTGTTCCTATCATATATATTGGATTCATTTTTAAATTATGGAGGCAATATGGAAAACAAAGAAGTAGTCACGTCCATCTATTTTTGAGTTAAACAGACAACAACCAACATTTGATTCATTCAAAGCCAAAGAGAGATAAAAAGACATCCGCGCCTTTTACGCTCTTGCCATCGTAAATTTTATATTCATTGATCAAAGTTGTTGCGGCTCACGTACGGTGTGTGTGGTTGAAAGACGAGGTACACAAGAGGAGAGCGCGGAATTGGAATATATAAAAAAGCTTGGAGCACTTTCTCAAATAAAAGACAGCGATGCAAGTTGCTTTACGATTTTGAATATCAAGTGTTTGACAGATGCACATGCATCAGACAAAGGCTCTGCTAAATCTGCAAACCCCCCCCCCCCCCCCCAGTTTCTTAAATTCAAGAGACAACCCATACATAAGTGTATGTGTATGCATGGTCAAGGACCGTGATGAGCTTTCCGTACATGCTTTTGAGGGACAAAGGCATGCAGCAGGCCTCCCTCGTTTCCCCTTTAATAAATAGAAACAAATGAATGGTCTCTCCAGAATGAGTCCCAATTCTTTTGTTTTCTGAATATGTATGAAGCTAGGAAAATATTCAATTTAAGCCGTCCGAACAATCATATAATAAAATGATCAGAGAATAATAAAAATAGAGAGAAGATACAGATTCAAATGGTGCATAGTACTGCATAGCATGCCGCTCTGCAGACAAGGCGCTAAAGATTATATATATATATATATATATATATATATATATGTGCATGTATGTATGATGAGACGGCAGATATAGAATAGAAAAGAGGAAAGAAGGTTGATAAGTAGGTAGCGAGAGAGTGGGAAGGTGGTGGCTCCCAACTAGCTGGCACTGCCTTCTTTGGTCGCTTAAAATCAGAGATTATTAGTTTTTGAGAACACTTTCATGCTCCACGCCGACATCTACTATTCTTGTATTACTCCCGGGAATCACCCTTCTCTCTTACTCCCAAGTCTATCTCCGCCATCTCTCTCTTCCTGCCTCTTTTATATGCATATATTTTTTTATTTAAAAATATAAAATATTTTTTGAGAAATTAAATATTAAAAAATATAAAGTATTTTTAATTTTTTAAAATGTAATTATTATCTTTTTTTTAATAAAAGTATCTCTATTAATAATAATTTTATATTTATTATAAGATATTTAATATGAGTAAATATGAAAAGTTAAGGTTAAGTAAAAAGTAAATAATTACTTTATTAAAAAATAAAATTTAATTAAAAATATTTTATATTTTTTAACGGAGTAGGTATATATGTTTATATCTCTCTCCCCCTTGGACTCAGTACATGAAATTAATTTATGAATGGATCTCCATGAACCTAATGTTGTTACTATTCGGCGTTAGTGCGTAATTTATTTATTTATTCTCCCTCTCTCTCAAATATCATGCGCTAGTTCAGTTAGTATATAAATTTGAACTGCATTACCAAACCACCACATATAAAGGATTGATTTGATTGGTAAATTTCCTCCCAAGATTACCACACGAGTGAAACTTTTAAAACGCCGCGTCCACTTCTGAGAATTTTGTAATTAGAGTGCTGGACTGGGGACCAATTAGCACCAATCTCCAAGGCTATATTATATTATTCGTGATTAGGGATCCACGAGTGAATCATGAATCTTAGCCTTGTCAATTTGTAATATCATCAGCTTTGGAACAAAATCTCAAAAAGAACCGACCGACCCGAGTCTTGATTAGATAAGCAATGAAGGAAGGAAGGAAGGAAAGCGATACATAATTAGTTATGGACCACTAAGAACAACAAGAGAACATACATAAATGCTCGCTCCACAATAAAGAGGATTGACCCTCCAAAAGAAGATGCAGCGTTCGTGGCTGTCAAGTGCCAAAGGTGGCAAACCGTAGATCGTGAAATAGTGAAAATTGATGCTTTTACAGCTCTCCCTCCAACTCCGTTGTGCACTTCGCTTTTCGGCACATGCTTACCCCGTTCCCTCACACAAAATATCTTTTTTTTTTTTTGGGCCAACTCACACAAAATATCTATCCCTCCTACCAAACACATCTTTTTTCGTTACTCACCAACCTCATCTCCCCGCACTATTGGCATCACTAAATCATATTACCTGGCTTTTCGGCTCCCCCTTCATGATCCATTGCCATTTCAAAAAAATTACTCATCCATCAATTTCCAAACTTACATGCCATACCTCCAGAATCAAAATTCATTAACAACAAAACTCTTCCTTACAGAACAAAAAATTAATTAGAAATAAGTTAAAAAAAATAAACTCGACTCATTGACCATGTTCGTTTTCTTTACACGCTTCAGAAAAAACATTAAACCACTTCAGTCTAATTCATCGCACCGATCAATCTTCCCCGATTACCTTCGCCTTCGGATGATTTTGTTGTCCGTCTCCAACCCAGTTTTCAGTACTGTCTTGTTCTTGAAAGTAGCTGTCTACGTCCCATTTACACGATTCAAAATCTTGTTCTAGGTGGAACGGACTGTCCCTGATATTTAAATTATCGTTTGAAGTGAACTGGTCGAAGAACATTGGGAGAGGGACCTCATATTCTGAATATCGAGAAGCAAATGAAGAATCTAAGAACAATAAATTACTATCTTGGAAATATGGCTCCGCTTCTGCTTCTGCATCTGCTTCTCCTTCTCCGGGCTCTGTTTTGGGTTCTTCTAGAGACTGGAACCTCAGGACAGAGGTTGGGGAAGACGCGTGGGGCTCCTTAATCAACTCAACGTTGTCCACTGAGGTTGCTTCGGATTCTTCGACGGGTTCGGCAATTAGAGGTGGTGGTCGGAGAATATTTGTCTTGGCATATGGACCTCGAATACGAATAGCTGCTCTGTCGTATGCCAGAGCTGCCTCTTCCGCCGTATCGAAAGTGCCCAGCCACAGCCTCTGCCGACTCACAGGATCTCTGATCTCCGCCGAGTACCGCCCCCATTCCCGCCGTCGAACTCCGATGTACTTCTTTCTGTACGGTTCGACCTGGTCAGATTTTTCGGGTCGGACCTTACCGGACTTGTTTCTGGACCTCTGCTTCGAAGACGAGGTGTTGGTACCTCCTCCGTGAGCCTCTCTGTTTGCCGAAAAATTGGAGCATTTATCTATTCTGATTTCATTAACGAGCCTCCTCATTCTCCTGGGTTGGAAGCGTTCGTCTTCGTCATCGCCGCTTGAGGTGTCAGTGGCGTAGTGATCAGTGACGCTGATCCGGACAACCCTGGGGGCTCCGATAAGAAACTCTGGTTTCACAAACTTGGTTGTGATTGTCTTAGTTTGCTTCATGGTGAAGAAGAGAGCAGCAAAAGTGGCGCATCAATGGCGAAATAAGGAGGCGCCTGGTGACGAAGGGTAGGAAAGGAGAGTCTAGGAGGAGTAGCAGAGTCAAAACGCGAGAATCACTGATATATATACCGAGAGGATCTTTCATTTCTTATTGCAGATTTGCGAGATAATACAAATTTTTAGGAAAGTTCATTAAAGAAAGTTTACTAATTTAAATTAGCGTTACTGTTAAATTTCAAAAAAATCAAAATAGGAATCAAAGGGGACCGAGGCGCAGATACCGGTGAAGTCGAAGCATGCGACTCGCCGCATTTACGAATAAAGCCGTTCCGCCATACGACATGTGTACCGTTTGGCCCGGTAAAAGTGTCCGTTTTCTCTTTCTATTTTTTAAAATATCGAAAAATGATGAGTATATTTTAATTTTAATTGTCAATAATTCATTTTATTTAACGCTTCATAACATAAAATTATTTAATTTGTTTTCTTGAATGATACTATTTTATTCTCTTTTTTTTTTACAAGTCGAAACCATATTTTCTCTTATTCGTGATATTTTATTCATTTTAACAATATGTTCTTTCATTTGAATCTAAACAATTTACTACTTGTTATTCACATTCTATTCTTATGCCTGGTAAAAGTGTCTATGTTCTCTTTATATATTTTTAAACTGTATATGTAAGTTGTAATACTTGGTGTCCAAGTTCTCTGATGGGCATCCCAACTAATTTGTCGTTCGAGTTTTTTGACCTGATTTTATTGTTCATTAATATATCACTGATTTTTTTTGGACCTTGAATATATAACTGAAATTGAGAGACACACAAAATCAGATAAAAAATAAATGTCATTCCATCCACCCATTTAATAATATATAAAGTCAACAGCATTTAATAATTTAGTAAATTAATAATAGTGGTATAGTAATATATCGTGGCCCAAACCAAAAAGAAGTGTAATGCAGGAAACAGTGAAAGTGATTCTTGTGATTTTAGAATGTGATGGAGAAATAATTAAGCAACCATATCTATTAATGATTTTTACTAAAAATATAATTTGATATGCCTTGCCGTCCAAGTAATACGTCATATATTTGGTAATTGATATGACTTTTGGAAGTGAATAAATGGGTTTTTGTTGGGAAGGCGGGTGCTAACTGAATAGTTTTCTAAACATTCGTCATAGCTCATGTTTAATATTATCCCATTAAATAAAAGTATAATTAATATAACGTCTGCGTTGTTTTTCTATCTGTTGTCGCATGATTGTTGTATCATTGTATGCGAACATATTACTAGTTGTTTGTTGGGCTTTTTTTAATAACATACCCACTTATTTAATTCATATGATCGTTACTCATTTACAATTAGCTAGATCCGAAGCATTTGAGTTGATAAATTTGAATTTGAATTTTAAAATTTAACATCTTACATTTAAAATTTGAATTTAACTCATATTTAAAATTTATATATTTAAAATATTTTGTTTGAGAGACCATTCAAGAACTTGCAAGTCACTGCATACATAGCTTTCATGTTTGCTCTTAAGGTTTTTATTCCCAAGTAAGAGTGGGTCGCTTGCTGCAATGCCACCATATTTAACCACAAATCTAACCAGAATTACTAGACTCCACCATAATAATTAAAAGATAACCAATTCTAATAATCTTATCACAGTAAAAAAGATTCAATTATAGTTAAAAATAGCTAACCATATTAAAAAAAAAAGCCAATTCAAAGATCTATTATGATTAATAAAATTAAACTTGCCAAAATAAATCTTTTATCATACATGCATATAGTTCCTACCATCACGATGGAATGGTTTACAATCAAGCAATGAAATTTTAGTATGCTAGAAAAGGCTAAAACCTACTATGATATTAGAATCCTTTTGAATTAATTGGATCTCATGTTTTTAACAAAGGAGTAAAACCTTCAATGAAACAACCACAACCCAAAATTCACACATAATCAGATCCTGTCGTGGTAGTGAAAATTTTACTATCTATGGTAAAAAAAGAACAATGTAACTCGTGAGCCATGATAGAAAAAAAACTATCCTTACTTCAGCCATGATATTTAGAGCAAGTTTAAGTAACTAACATATGCCCTTATTATGGTAGAAAAGATTTTTACATAATATTCAAGACTACCATAGCAAAAAAGGTAAACTTACAATCACATAACTATCATGACTACCATGGTATGAAAGGAACAAGCTCCCTTGTGCAAGCTACCATGGTAGGAAAGGAGTAAACTTGCACAATCATAATCCACATAAATAATAAATAAAAAAAATAACTAAAAATATACACTCATGCCTTTGGTCAAATTCATCTAACTCAGGGTTCGGAGACTAAAGGATTAATGCAATACAATACAAATAGAAATATCAATTAAATAAATAAATTACTTAAGCTAAGTGGCCCTTGGTGTGGTAGTAGACTTTTTTATCCAGAGCTGTACTTCTTACAAAGTTGGCAATTCTTAGGTGTTCCCTCCCTTGAGCTCTGCTCTTGGTCCATATAGCAATTAAGAAAGGGGCAAGACAATGTCTTGATATTCTTTTAGAGGTTATGGTGTATCCACGGCTAGTAGGTGACCCGATCTAATGGGTTTTCACAGACGTTTCATTTCACATTAATAATCATCATAAAGAAATTCCAATTGTAAATCAATTCAATACACCAATCCCTACTAGATAGCACGCTTGAAAATGTTTTTTTTTAATATATAACTATCTCACAAGTGACAAAGGTATATCAAGAAAAATCTCATTCACATAAATCAATAATTTAGATAAAAGGTGTAAAAATCCATCAACCTTATATAGTAATTCAAATACGTACTATATAGAGGACATCAATAATATCAAACTAAAAATCAATTTTATCAATCTTACAAGACAACATTATTAGAGTAAAAGACAATTTTGTCTCATATTAAGTTTCTCCTTATCTCCTTGTTTCCTTAGGCTAGAGCCTCAAATGAAAGGAGTTGTCGCTCAACCAAAGGACATGCTACTCCATATCGAGTCTTGGCTTTCCCCTTCAACGAAAAGGGATGCCCAAAAAGGTACCGAGCTTTTTCTGGCCCTGGTCAAAGGAATTGGGTAGTTATAGAATAAGGCCACTCTGTGCGCACCCCGTAAGACAAGTGTGTAATCACAATCTTACCTTATTTTCTCTATTTTATCCCACAACCTACGACCACCTTATGAATAGCACAATTCCAATCTATTATAAAGTTAATCACAGTTTCATTTATTGCATAATTATTTAGTAATATTCAATGACTGTGTACTATCATTCAAAGTAGTTATATTTGAGTCCTTGCATCAAAATTTAATTTTTCACCATTCATCCTATTTACACCATCATCAAAAGTAACTTATGCAGTCAATCAAGACCAATCAGCATCTATCCAATTTTAAACTATCACATAAGTAATATAGTATTTTTAAGTGTTTCACTATGCAATATAAATTCTCAATTTGTTTGCATTCTTTGCTAGATCTTGTTTTTGCAAAATGTTATAATCGACATGCTTTATTAGATTCAATTTAATATAAGTATTATAAAATTTATAGTTACTTATCAGCACATGTATACACAATAACCTAAAAAAAGTTACTTAGACTCAAGTCCACCTAAAAAACTTGATATCTCTTTCAAATTGGATCCTTCATCTAACTCAAACGTCAAAGATAAATTAAGAAGTTTATTAAGAAACTCATAAAATAATAATTTAAAAAATTAGAGTTACATTAAATTTATATTTAATTATTTAGTACTCTCAAGTACCGTAGTCCAAACTACTTTTGTTAAACTATACTCATTTTCTTTTATCTTTTTTTAACCTTAGAGCCTACCAAAAATTCCCAAAGCAACTCTAAGATCACATTAGTCATTACTTTTTAACTTTAAAGTGCTTGTCAGCACATTCTATACATCACAAACATTTAATAAATTAAATTTTCATTTTTAAATAATTGAAATAAATTCCATTTAATTATAATTTATTCCTTAAATTCACTTTTAATTTATAAGTTGCTCCGAACAGTTATAAAATAATTTCAACAACTCTCGTAATTATTAAAAGTTATCTAGAATTCTTTAAAGCTATTATCTCCAAATAGTTTTGGAGTTATCATTCAACAACTCTGTCCAGTCCCCATATCTCTCTTCAATTTTAAATCCACCTAAATTTAGTTATCTTAGCTAGAATAAAAATTATAGAACACTTACATTTGTCCTAGAAAGCCTGAACCCACTCTTGATGTATTTGTTGTGGCTTCTCTAACATTTTTATCCTCCTGCTACTGCGCTCTCTTCATTCCTCCCTCAACGTCAAGGCATTGCCGCCAAACAAAAAATAATAGCCCTCACTGAAACTTGAATGAGGATATACTTAATTTAATTTTTATTATAAGACATTTTTACTTATTTCACACATATTAAACAATTTTTTTTATATCACAAAAAAAGTGTCCTTTTATTTTAATATTTAATTTTAAATTATAATACAACTTCATTAAGTACTTTCAAACTACTTAAAAATAATAAGATTAAAAAAATAATTTAATTATTACAGTATGTCATATATTTAAAAAATAATTTTTAAAATATATTATATAAGTAGGATTGAAGGGAGCATATAATACCCTTATTCACCAGATACCAGGCCACATGCCCCCCGTTGGGGTGTGTGTGTATTATTAGTATTTTCTTCTCTAATTTTTTTTTATTTTCTTTCATTTCTTTCTTTTAATACCATTATTCTTTTTTATAATTTTTTATAAACTATTATTATTTTTCTCCTACTTCCCGATACTGGGCCACATGCGGACATGCCTGCCGCAGGGGGGTGTGTGTATTATTATTACTATTTTCTTTTCTGTTCTTTATTTTTTTCTTTTCCTTTATTTCTTTTGCTAAAAAAATATCATTATTGGTTTCTTTTAATTGTTTATTAAATATTTTTATTTTTCTCCTA